TTAAATAAAATTTACAAAACTTTCTGAAATATACACCTATTTCTGTCCCTGGGAAATAGAGCTTTCTTACAGAATTAATTGGGTAGTTAGTCTTCTGAACATGGTGTATTATATAAGCAACTTTATTTGCAGTATGCTAGACCATCTTTTTTTTATTTTATATTGCAAATCAGATGCTTAGGTAGAGTTAGAATTAACAAAGTTCTCTGGGTGTTGTGGTGTACACCTTTAATCCCAGCACTCAGGAGGCAGAGGCAGGTGGATATCTGTCAGTTTGAGGCCAGCCAGAGCTACATAGAGAGACTGTCTCAAAAGAAGTGAGGGGTAGAGGTGGCTAAAGGGATGGCTTAGCAGTTAAGAGCACTGGCTACTCTTGCAGAAGACCTGGGTTCAGTTCCCAGCACCTACATAGCAGCTAACAGCCTTCTGTTAACAACAGTTCCAGGTGAGCCAATGCCCTCTTCTGGCCTCCACAGGTGTTTCATGAATGGGTGTGTTTACAGATGTGTAGACAAAACACATACATAGTGTATAAATAAAATAAAAAATAAATTACAAAAAATTTTCCAAAATATATTTTTATTGAATTTTTGTGGACTTTATACAATATATCTTAATCATATTTAGCCCCCCTTCGCTATCTGCATCCCCACACACTGGATGAACTCACTATGTAGACCAGGCTGGCCTTGAACTCACAGGGATCCACCTGCTTCTGTCATATATGTTGAGGCCTATAATGTCAAGTTTGTGTACCCAGATATCCCTTGGTGTGAGTTCATCCACTAGGGCCTGTTCAGCTTTTCTAGTAGCATCACTCCCTTAAAGAAAATCAACTCTCCCTCCCCAAGCAGTGATCAGCTGCCACAGTTCCTCACCAAAGCCATGACCTCTTGCCACGGAGTTCTTTTCTGTACTTCCGTAAGGTCCTTTCATTTCCTAAACCTTCTGGTATTAGCAGACGAGAATGTGAATTACATACAATCTGAAATGATGTTAATTTTCAGAGAATAGAGGACTTTTTCCAAATAATTTTCCTCATTTTGTATCAGGTTTTACAGAAGGTAAATTCTTAGAAGCAGGTATTGAAATACTCTTGTTCTTTGTTTTTTTTTTTTGGTCTTTTTGAGACAGGGTCTCCCTGTAGCCCCAGCTGTCCTGGAACTCACTATGTAGACCAGGCTGGCCTTGAACTCACAGGGATCCGCCTGCTTCTGCCTCCCGAGTGCTGGGATTAAAGACGTGTACCACCATGCCCGGCATCTTAGGTATATTTTACTCTTTGGAAAATGATACAAAAGTGCACCCATGTTCTGCAGTGCTGTGGAGGTCAGAAGAGGGCTGCAGATTCCCCTGGAACTGGAGTTAAGGACGGTTCATGG